CCGCTCGGCCAAACTGAGCAATCGGGGAAGAAGGGCCTTAGTCAGGGAGGTGAGCAAGAACCCGATGGTCACTCTGACAGAGCTCCAGAGTTCTGGGAGACTAGTCAGGATTGAGGGAAAGAGGAACGGAGCAAAGTACAGAGAGATCCTTGATGAAAATCTGCTCCAGAGCGCTCAGGACCTCAGACTGGGGCGATGATTTACCTTCCAACAGGACAACGACACTAAGCACACAGTCAAGACAACGCAGGAGTGGCTTCGGGACAAGTCTCTGAATGTTGTTTAGTGGACCAGCCAGAGCCCGGACTTGAACCCGATCGAGCATCTCTGGAGAGACCTGAAATAGCTGTGCAGCGACGTTCCCCATTCAACCTGACAGAGCTTGAAAGGATCTGCAAAGACGAATGGGAGAAACTCTCCAAATACAGGTGTGCCAAGCTTTTAGCGTCATACCCAAGAAGACTCGAGGCTGTAATCGCTGCCAAAGGTGCTTCAACAAAGTACTGAGTAAAGGGTCTGAATACTTATGTAAATTTGATATTTCAGTTTTGTATTTTTAATACATTTGCACAAAAAAATGAAAAACAGTTTTTGCTTTGTCATTATGGGGTATTGTGTGTAGATTGATGAGGGAAAAAAATGCTTTAACCTCTACGGGATCGGTGTCCTGTATACGGGACAGTTGAGCTAACGTGCGCTAATGTGATTAGCATGACTGTTGTAAGTAACAGCAAACCTTCCAGGACATAGACCTGTCTTATATGGGCAGAAAGCTTACATTCTTGTTAATCTAACTGCACTGTTCAATTTACAGTAGCTATTACAGTGAAAAAAATACCATGCTATTGTTTGAGGAGAGTGCACAACAACAAAAAACTTACAATGGCAACTGGTTTGATACATTGACCTCTGAAGGTAAATAATGTACTTACATTCAGTAATCTTGCACTGATTTGTCATCCTGAGGGTCCCAGATATAAAATGTAGCATAGTTTTGTTTGATAAAATACATTTTTATATTCAAATGTATGAACTGGGTTTTAAAGTTTGAACCCCTGCTGTCTCTGGCTCCACACCCACCGCGCCCGGCCATCTAGATGTGTGAAAGTTAGTCTATAAGATAATGATCCATCATGTATGACATTGCTGGGAATGTGTAAACTTACATTTTGTATTACCATATCATTTTTGTATGTTCTCTATAGTTATATACTTGAAAATGTTTCAATTGACCATTTTGGCACATTTGGGCAGACTTGATACAAAATAGTCCAGTATTGCAATGCTTCACTTGATCAATCTGAAACTTTGCACACACACCGCTGCCATCTAGTGGCCAAAATATGAGTTGCGCCTAAACTGCAGTATTATATTGTGGCCTTTCTCTTGAAACAAGTTATTTTTTTGTTAGTATTATCTTTTACCACATCTAATGTGTTATATTCTCTTACATTAATTTCACATTTCTCAAACTTCCAAGTGTTTCCTTTCAACTGGTGTCAAGAATATGCATATCCTTGCTTCAGGTTATGAGCTAGAGACAGTTAGATTTGGGTATGTCATTTTAGGGTAAAATTGGAAAAAAGGGTCCGATCCTTAAGAGGTTAATCAATTTTAGAATAAGGCTGTAATGTAACAAAATGTGGAAAAAGTCAAGTGGTCTGAAAACTTTCCGAATTGCCTATACATTGCGGCTATTTCAGCTTGTCATGTGGGAATTGATCGTGCCACTCCAGGGGCTCATCCACTGGTGGTGCGGTTCCTAAAAGGGCCTAAAAGGGTGTGCACCAGCTCAGACCGGTCTCTAAACCTATTGAGGATTTAGCTTTGGTTTTGGGTGCTCTGTGTGAGGCCCCTTTGAACCACAGGAGGCTGTGGATCTGAGTGTCCTCTCCTACAAGAACTTCCTGCTCGTGGCTTTGGCCTCAGATATGCGTGTTGGGGACCTCCATGTGTTACAACCTTCCTGTAGTCAGTTCGCCCTCGTGCGACTCTTAAGGTGATGTTGCGTCCAAATGCGGCCTTCACCCCAAAAGTCATGGCTATGTCCTAAAGGACTTAAGCTTTTGAGATATTTCCCTTTCAACTCCTCCTTTTGCTTATGAAGAGCAACAGAGGTTACATGCCCTATGCCCGGTTCAAGCTTTACACACCTACATTGAGCGGCCCCGGCATATCCAGTTATGTGACCATCTTTTTACCTGTTTTGCTAATCCAGCTCACCAGCTTTTTGTCTGTTTTACTTATGAAGCTCGCGGCAGGGTGCTTTCTAAGCAGCGTCTCTCCCACTGGATTGTGGAGGCTATCTCCCTGGCATATAGCAGCAAGGGACAAGGGTTACCTAGCGGTGTATGCGCCCACTCCACTTGGGGTCTGGCAGCGTCTTGGGAGTAATTTAAAGGGTTGACTGTAGGGGATATTTGTGTTGCGGCGGGTTGGGTATCAGTGTGCTTACAGTGTCCTTACAGCTGGGACAGGGGAAGGTCACTAGGCAGCGTGCAGTGTGCGCAATACCCAGACTACCGCTTCTTGCAGGGTCGAGGTCTAGGTGGTCTGTTATTGGCCGTTTCATTTAGTATCCGCTGGGCTTGGCTTGTGGCGTGATTTAATTTCCCCATAGTTGTGTTGTACCAAGAGTACTGACTGAAAGGGGACGTAACATTATTTTATTTTTATTTTATTTCACCTTTATTTAACCAGGTAAGCCAGTTGAGAACGAGTTCTCATTTACAACTGCGACCTGGCCAAGATAAAGCAAAGCAGTGCGATAAAGACAACAACACAGTTACATTGGGGTACACAAAACATAAAGTTAAAAATACAACAGAAAATATATATACAGTGTGTGCAAATGTAGGACGTTTTGGAGGTAAGGCAATAAATAGGCCATAGTGCAAAATAGTTACAATTTCGTATTAACACTGGAATGATAGATGTGCAAAAGATGATGTGCAAATAGAGATACTGGGGTGCAAATTAGCAAAATAAATAACAATATGTGGATGAGGTAGTTGGATGGGCTAATTACAGATGGGCTGTGTACAGGTGCAGTGATCGGTAAGCTGCTCTGACAACTGACGCCTAAAGTTAGTGAGGGAGATAAGAGTCACCAGCTTCAGAGATTTTTGCAGTTCGTTCCAGTCATTGGCAGCAGAGAACTGGAAGGAATGGCGGCCAAATGAGGTGTTGGCTTTGGGGATGACCAGTGAGATATATACCTGCTGGAGAGCAGACTACGGGTGGGTGTTGCTATGGTGACCAGTGAGCTAAGATAAGACGGGGATTTGCCTAGCAGTGATTTATAGATGACCTGGAGCCAGTGGGTTTGGCGACGAATATGTAGTGAGGGCCAGCCAACCAGAGTGTACAGGTCACAATGGTGGGTAGTATATGGGGCTTTGGTGACAAAACGGATGGCACTGTGATAGACTACATCCAATTTGCTCAGTAGAGTGTTGGAGGCTATTTTGTAAATGACATCGCCGAAGTCAAGGATCGGTAGGATAGTCAGCTTTACCAGGGCATGTTTGGCAGCATGAGTGAAGGAGGCTTTGTTGCGAAATAGGAAGCCGATTCTAGATCTAACTTTTGATTGGAGATGCTTAATGTGAGTCTGGAAGGAGAGTTTACAGTCTAACCAGACACCTAGGTATTTGACTATATTATGACTATAACTACAGTTCCCTGAAGGAGGGAAACGAGGTACAACACCAGTTTGGCCCCGCACCGTCCGTTCCTGGGCTCGGTGAAGAGCAGTATTTAATTGAAGGAGTAAATCCAAGCCTCATGCTTGTGGAAGGCCGGGCTTCCAGCGAGGTGCTGATTTCATTGGCCTTGTCAGGCTTGATTTTAGTTCTTCAATCGAGGTTGCGGGGGTGCGACTACACCATAGTTGTGTTGTACCTCGTTTCCCTCCTTCAGTGAACAGTAGTTATAGTCATAACGTTACGTTTTGGCCCTCCTGAATACCTTTTATGAAGTTACTTGTGAGCTTCTGTATTTGACCTACAAATCAAATCTGGTCTCAACCCTTCCTCCCTGCTCACTGTGGCACCATCCCACATGCTCTGGAGACCACACGGTTGGCTAAAAATGACATGGGGGCAGGAGCTAAGGGGGACAGGGCAGACATCTCAGCATGCAGCTGTCATTCTGATGCCTTCTGGTTGTGTGGCTGTCACTTCCCCTAAGGACTTGCCTGGCAGAGGTGGGGGGAGATCATGAGTGAGAAAGCTTAGCTCTTTTGGGACAAGAGGTGGGACAGACTGTACATTTGGTGCGACTGAGCCTGGTTTATACTGACTTGGAAACAAAGTGAGTTTGTCAGCCAATCCAAAGGGTCAAACTGGGAATTAAGGGAATAGTCTTTTACAGATTTACAAGAGTCCAAGGCACTTTTTCTTTGACTCGCACTCAACGTGTTCAAGCCAAGGACCGGCTCAAGAGCGGTGAGAAGCAAGAGAAACCAGCCAGGGGAAAGAAAGGTGAAAGGCAGAGGCAATCAACTTCCAAAAGGCAATACTGGGAGCTGTTAATGCAACATGATCCTGTGGGTCTTGCCCTAAAAATACCACCAGGCAGGAGAGTGTGCACAGGCTGTATCTGCCTAATTGCTAGGTAATGATCAATTTGTTTTGCCTTTTATCCCAACTGGACTTCAAAAGCCATGACAAAAAACATTTTGGCTTGGGCATTTTGAAGGTAATCTAATCCAATCCAATGTAATGAAGTTGATTTGCTTTAGAACTTTGATAGCAGAAGTTAAAGGGATATTTTATTGCATTATATGAGCCCTTTCAAACTACTTTAAAAGTTAGTGTTATGCTTGAAAGCCTAATTTTTTTAAATAATAATCAAAATGTGGGAAACTTACTTTTAATCAGCTCTCGAATCACTCAACGTCAACTATCATAAAGAAATTAAGAAAAAGGGTCCAGTAACCATTGGGACCCATTTTGAATACACAACATATGCTATTATAAGAAGGCATCACTGTGACAATGAAAAAGGCAGAGGTGCAGATGACCCTGAAGAAGGGAGAGGATGAGGGGGCGCGCAGCGTCCCTAGCCCCATCTTCCTGCCAAAGCGGGCCAAAGCCAATCCTAACACCGACCAGACGGTCCCCGACTCGGGGGCCTCCGTTTTTCCCACCCAGACCCCTCCGGTGTTTGTACGCAAAATGAGGAACGCCGCTGTGGGTACTGGCTGCGACATCCGCCTGAAAGTGGCAGTGGCTGGAGACCCGCAGCCCTCACTCTACTGGTACCACAACGATGACCTGCTGAATATGGATAATCAGGAATACGGGGGCCTCTGGATCAGGGACTGCAAGCCCAGCGACGCCGGCCTTTACACCTGCATTGCCAACAACCATCTTGGGGAGGCGCGGAGTAGCGCCGTGCTCGCCGTCCTGGACCTGGGGGAAGGTAATGTAGACGGATGACTTATCCTATTGTTTTGTGTTAAAAGTCCCTGACCTCTTTTTCAATGTGTTTTTCTATTAAGTTCTACTGAAAACATGTAGCAGTTTGTTATTTTATTGAAAGTTCTGGAACAATCAAAGATGTTTTGGGGCCATGTTTTGGTGTCCCCTCTTACATGCCTCAAATAATACTCCCATGTGTTGCAAGCCATTCACACTTATGAGTATTGATCTAAGAATATGTGGGCAAATGAGGTTTGAGATCATTTAGAAATACTTCAGCCATTTACATTATCTCCACATTGTTTTATACCATTATATCATGACATGACAGTTTACCTATTGAATGCTCAAAGCTTGTGAAAAGTTGAAGGGTTCACATAAATGCCATAATGAATCATTCAACTGAACCAGTCATAATGCGTCATTTGATTTGTAGCTATGTTTGTGCAGCGCTAAAGAGGGATTAATACTGAAGAGCAACAAAGACACAGTGACAATGTCATAATGGACAACTTGTCCAACAGGCTTTACATTTGTAATGGTGGATCACAGGGAAGAGTTGGGTAACACTTGACATACATCCTGCAAGTATAATGCATCATGATATAGTCATACAAGGCATTATAACTACATGTCCCCCTTATGATGTCGTATTATCATTTATGATGATCCTGACTAACCAGCCATTTTGAGTCAGTTGAAATGTTGATACATAGAGACATACCATATTATAAAGCTTTGTGTGAGACATAATTAAGGATGAAGCATTATACCCGCATGCTTCAAGTTAAGTGTTACCAACCGTTGTATAGGGGTGGAGTGCTTTATCCTCCTGGGTTACCTTGTTTAGTCTTGATGACTGAATCCTGAGGCCTGTTTTGTGGCTGCAGGAGTGATAGGATATCCAAAATCACTGCAAAGAAGGACGGCAGCCGATAGAGAAGGCTTGTTACTTTGGGGTTGTGTTTGTAAGCTACATCAGGCTAATAAAGTAATAGTCTAATAACGTCTTGAACTTGCCATAATCTCAAATATAATTATATAATATAATGTATTGTAGCATGGCTCTGTCTTGTTTGGAGTTCTTGGGTCCTGGATCAGCAGGTCGTTCAAGATGACAAAATTGGATGTCTATCCATGTCCTGAGGATGTCGGGAAATGCTTTCAAAACCGGCCACTAGGGACAACAGTGAGCACTATTACTATCAAGTACGCTTGGGTTTTGCTAGGGTGTTGTGGACAGGGGTGGTAGATGTGTGACTCTGGATTAGAAGGTTGTGTATTCGATCCCAGTTGTGGACACTGTTTTTTTTTTACCCTATCCCAAACCTTCACCCTTACCTTAACCATTCGGAATGAGTGCCTAAATTTAACCCTTAACCTCGAAATTACAGAGCAGTAGGAGCAACAAAAACACTTCGGAATTTGACGTTTGGAGCAAGTTAGAAATGTGACATTTGGAGAACATGGATGAATGTCTAATTCTGCAGGGAGACTGTGAGAGCTTGTTGCCTGGATATCTTTCCACCTCTTCCAGCAGAAAGTAAATCATGCTAGCCTATGAATGTATTTTTTCATTTCAGGCTACCTGGATGTATGTTTAATCTATGATATTAAAAACATGATAATATGCAGTGGCAGTGTGATTGAATCTAGCTCTCAGTCTTACATCTAGTCTCACATACGGATCTGTATGTGTGTACAAACATTTGTAAGGTATGCGCTCATTATTAAATCAGTGACACCCTTTAGTTGTATGAAAATCAGCTATGTGAGTGTTCACCCACAAAATTGTCACACTACTGAGCCAAGCTGAGCTGAGCTAAACCAAGCTGTACTGGGCTGACCTGGTTACGCATCTAACATAGTTGCTGGAACCGTGCTGAAAAGCAAAGTGTGAACATATCAGAGCAAGCACAGTTTGGTTCAGGTCGGGACGATAGTATGAAAAGTGTAATATGCTGCTTGGAAATACCTAAATATGCCTTTGTCTTTTGGCCATGTTTGTCTTGTAGGATGGGTTGACTGGTCTTGATCATCAGATGTAATACCAGGTATTCAGTGGTATACAGAGCTGGCGGTTTTACCCTGGCTAAAGCATGCTCCCCATCAGAGGTGTTACTGTTTCAAACATGCCTAAGATCTCCTGGTCGCAATGCAGCTTCTTTCATTGCTGGCATTGGGTTCGATTTTTTAAGGAAGTCACTTTTACAGTTCAAATTGTTTGTGTGGAACAAGCATTCCATAAAATGGGATTATACCGCAGCTCATACTCTTGTGAATTTATTATGCAACAGTGTGGACTTTCTTGTTTTCGTACAGCAATTACAGTATGTGATTCAAATATCACCTGTATGCCATACTTTTTAGGACACCCTCACCTTCAACCGCCTCCCCTGTCTTTACTGTGACAAAGTGATTTTCGGTCAAACGGGTGTAGACAAATGATTTCTTGCTATTTGACACTTGAAACTCTGTCCTCACTTGAAACTCTGCGTTTCAGTCCTCAGCCCTGACTGTGCCTGGTCTACAGCTGTCCTATCAGTCATTGGTAGTACCTTACCCCTCTGCCTCTCTCTCTCTCTCTCTCTCTCTCTCTCTCTCTCTCTCTCTATCCCCTTTCCCCCTCATCTCTCCACTGCATGTTATTTATACCCATGGAATGTGCCAGGCCTTAGATTTGTGTAATGTTAATAGGCCACAGTGTCTCCAATTACACAGGAAGACATCACAGCTAATAATAGACCTACCCCCTGGAAGAGGTTTTCGGCGGTCTCTATTATCAGAACTAAAATCTGAATGACCAGGGAATGAGGCAAATTTGATTTCAAACCCACACATCCTCTCAAAACAACTCTAACCAACTTCAAGGACCTATGTATGCCTGATGGTGATACTATATTCTGAAGATGCCAACTCAGTACAGTAGATATCCGTGGTCAGCCTATAGGCCCAGGGAGTTTGATTTTAGCTAAACTGGCTAAATGAGAATCTTATTGGTGAGGGTTAGGACGGTTACCTGGCCAGCACCACACAAACACTAGGCCTTTTAATACTTGGCTCAGACAGAGGTCGGCTTCACCTCGTGCTTAGTGATCGCAGGCATTCTGAATGGGTGCCAATGACAATTTATTCTAAATAATAAGTAGGAAAACTCTTTGCCATTGTTATGATGTCCTCAGATCTACTTTAGATATGCCAACGATGTGGCTATGTGACCCAGAGGAGGCAGAGGTTGGATTTTAAGATAGCTAGCTAAAAGCTAGGTTGGATCTTAGCTACTTTTCTAGCTCTACACGGTCTTGGATATAGTCTAGCTCTACATGGACTCAGATAATAGGCTAGCTATATCTTCACGTTCATGGATATCCAAGCAGTGAGAGGAGCAGTAGACACAAGACATGCCAGCTTTTGGACAAAAGTATAATTTGAACTGTATGAACCGGGTGCTACTAAATTCATGTCTAGCCAGCTATTTTAGCTAATCTGGTGCTCTTCATTCAATCCTAGCTAGCTAGCTAACATTACACTATATCTAAACTAAATTTGACAACACCATAATGACAAAGGGTATCCTTGCCTTCTTTTGAAATGTCAAGCCACTATAGTGCACGTACAAAATCATTGTTAAATCACAGTAAAGCCGTTAAACCCATGACTAGGTGCTCTAATCACTTTTTTTATTTGAACTGGCCTTATTGGTCTTTTGCATGTTGGCTTGCAAATATTTTGTATAATTAAAAATTTGAAGAAGTGGATAGATTATCTCTCTCTCCTCTCTCTCTCTCTCTCTCTCTCTCTCTCTCTCTCTCTCTCTCTCTCTCTCTCTCTCTCTCTCTCTCTCTCTCTCTCTCTCTCTCTCTCTCTCTCTCTCTCTCTCTCTCTCTCTCTCTCTCTCTCTCTCTCAAAATAACCCCCACTATGGACAATATGCATTTTGAAATTGTACTGAGTGCCCCATTCACTTATTTAGATCATTGGACATTAAGGTGATAAGGAATGAAAGGAAGCCATTTAAGACTATTTTATTAAATTGCAAACGTGTTGTTTCACAATGTTTGAAAAAGCTGATGCTTGGAAGGCCAAAATCAAAATATCAATTGAGCATTTTAAATTCTGTCTGTAATTCCATTTTGAATGGGCTGACTGGTGTTAAATCTAACAACAGTGCTCCTGTTACTACTGAATAAAAAGGTACACAGGCTTCAACCAGCCAGCTGCAAGTTGAAAACAGTCCACATCATGCGGATAATCATATTCAGTGAGTAACATAACAAAAAACATTTAGGCATGAGGAGACAGTGGGACAGATTGACTAAATATTTGCACCTGTTAGTTACAAGTAAAAGACAAGAAACAAAGTTAAACCATATAAACTCTTCACTTATTCCTTCTCATTACCTTCAGTTGACCTTTTGTTCCATCGTTTATGTTTCATGGAAATAGCAATTAGCACCAGTGCAAATGCTTAGTAAATCTGATCCAGTGACTTTAGTTCATATGGTTGCATCATTGTTTGTTATTTATTGTTCTTTATTATTTGCTCTTTGGAGTAGAGTTGGTCAGAGTTTTTGTAAGTTTCATGGTTTTTGAGACCAGCGGACATGACATGAGGCAACATGGCAGTGGCATCAGAAACCTGACAACGCAAGGGGGGAGCGAGGGGGATTTCCAACCCATTGCTCGGATTCCACTGAACATATGAACAGGGGGACAGTGAGAAGAGCAGGAGAAGGAAAGAGGGGTAACAACAAGATGGGGCAAAAAAAGAGGTTCACAGACAGCTTTGTGAATTGCAAAGTGTAAGCAATGGTTGGAGAGAAAGGGAGAGTAGGGTAATTAACAATATAATAAGCAATTTATCATCTAACCAAGTTTCCAATATCCAGCAGCTCAATATGGTTCTTCCTCACAAAGAATGGTCAGGGTTTGAAATATGTGTTCATACACAAGTTATCAGGAAGCAATTGAGTTGGCCACCCTTGCGCTAGGTTATGTATCAGATCTAACTAATCTGG